GGGAAAGAAGGTAGTTTTCTTCAGGCTTGGCCCCTCACACTACCACTTCTAGTTAGCTGCCTTGGATAGGGAGTAGGAAACGCACATCGGTTATGATTTCTGTTCCTGCTGTGTTTCAGCCCGGAGGCCTCCCACCGAAGTGAGGTTGCTGATTTAGGAGTGTAGTTGCTATATATCTCTTCTTCAAGTAGTAAAAAGATCTCTCCAGAGAGCGATTTGGATTGTAGGTGTGTTGAACCATTTTTGGGGTTATTCAGAGAAAACACACTAAAGCCTGGGGCTTCACTGAAACACTTGAAGCTGGATAGAAGAAATCTGGACTCTGGATCTTGAGGAGACCCCAGATCGCCCTGACTCTGGCTTGGAGCCAGTGTAAAAGTAAATTTTGCCCAGAGCCCACCCAGGTCCAGGCATGTGTCTACTACAGGCCTTTGGATGATCCCACATTTCTGACTTGTTCTGCAGCCTCTTGTGAAGGGAGGAGGGCATGTCCCTGCAGCTCCAACTCCTCCCAGAGCAGACCTCTGTAAGAAGCCCTACAACTGCTGATGAAGGGCAAGGAGAACAGCCCTGTGCTCTCTGTATGTCCAGAGCAAAAGCTGCTGCTCCTCTCTGTCAGCATGGTACTTGGATGTGGCCCTGAGATAACGATGAGACTGAGATAAGGATAATGGTGCAGTGTATCAGCAGAGACGGGTTGGATGCATGGGTGGCAGAGGCATTAACCTCTCTTATAACGTTTTACAAGGGCCTCATGGCTCAAATTTTTTAAGGTCTGCTGGATACGTGTTTGTTTTTATCCACTATAAGCCAGCGCAATGAGCCGAGCTGTGGTGACACAACTCAGCTCTACCTGAGTGCCCCTGACATGACGACACAGAGCAGGGAAAAATAAATAAAAGAAACTTTCCAGTTCATTGCTTGTTCTCAGCATCCTGCCACCCTTGTGCCCCCTCCTTGGCAGAAAGATGATGTCAGAGCAGTTAGGGCATAGCTAAGTCCCAACAAAAGAAAACCAGCTTTTGTGTCAAGGCATGGTGATCCTTTCTTGCCCCCTTTCAACCTCCTGTGAATGTTGGGACCAGCCTTTAGCTGTCCCGCACTGGGCTGGGTGACTCATTCCCCTGGTATGAATGGGTACCTTGTACAGGCGTCCGCAGAGACCGTCAGTGTTCGGCCGCGGGGGGAGAGTGTGGGGCTGGGGAGTGAAAGCCTCAGATTGTGAGTTTAGATTAAAGCCCGGTCTGCAGATAAAACCCAGCTGTCCGTCCATCACAGCTGTTGAATCCCAACAGGAGTGAAAGAGGAAGCCTGAGTGTTTGTGTCTGTGTCGTTTTACTCCTGCAAAGGGACTTGGAAATACCTAGCAAAGAAGGGTGCATAGTGGGAGCGTAACCCTCGTGCAACAAAAGGCATTCATCTGTGCTGTGTAGGTCAGCTTGCTGTGTCCAAGTCTTCGCTGTCCTTCTTTGTGCCAGGGAGAGATGGTTTGATGTCCAGTTGTAGGAAGCTGTTTACTTCGTCCCTTGGGAACAGCTGTTTCTTAATGTCAGCCATAAAACAGAAAATGGGAGATAATTTGTTTGTTCTCTCCCGGGGAGGCCTGCTCTTACAGGGACTTTGCATGAGGTCCTTGTTATGGCTGGAACTGGTGTCTCTTCAGCTTTATCTACAGAAAGATAAATTTAATAGCCGTCATAGAACAGCCTGGATCTGTAAAGAAACTGCTCATTGCTGACCAGGAGCAAGGCAGGGGCTGGGTGTCAGGACAGGGGTTCTCCCTGAAAAGCTCTCCTTGACCCTAAAGAGGAAGTGGCCACATTACCCTCTGTCTGCAGACCTGCCCAGTCCTTTCAATCTACTATACGTGTTCCTCCTCATAGGTTTGGCTTCCTTTCCCGTTGGTGTATAGGAACACTGCTCCCAACGAGTTTTCTGTACTGTCCATTTGATTCTCCTTGTGGTAAGCAGGGCACATCCCTTTCCATTTCACTGCTGTTAAGCCCTTTTAAGAAATAGTCATGTTCTCCTCTTAGTCCTCTAAGAGGTCTTCTCACTTTGGTTTTGAGATACTGAGCTTTTCCCTCTAGATCCTAGTTCAGCAGAACATATAGTCACAGTCCTGACTGCAAATTGGTGCTAAAGTCCATCCGCTTCAGTAGTGCCCTTCAGCCTGTGGTTGAGCCCCACAGAAGTGACTGGGAACATAAGTCTGTGGTTTTTGCTTATGCTTAGCTGGTCTGCTATATCCTTGGTGAAATGGGACCTTTGTTGCTTTATGGAATTATCATTATAGCATATATTGCTCCTTAATAACTTGGTGAAATGCCCTAAACAATATCAAAACAAGCAAAAGTTTCCAATTTTTTTGTATTGATGTCAGAATCGGATGTTTTCTGTGATATTGAGTGTAGTCATCGGGTTACCCAGCAAGCACTTCCTTTTGTCCAGTGATCTCATCTCAGTTGACTGCACTTTTCCTTCTTAACATCCCTCTGGCTCTGTGAGTTAAACTCACACTTGCTTCATCATGTCTTCAGTTATCCTGTTGTTTGGTGTTTGGGGCTTTGTTTTGTTTTTTTAACCTGTGGGATTGTTCCTTTCCTACCCTATTGAGGTCTTAGTCCCAGCCCCTGGCTTTGAACACTGCTGCAGAAAAACATTGATGAAGAGAGAGTCACGCATTTTACCAGCTAATGAATAGCTGGCTCCCGGCATCTCCTTGCATTCTGTTCTAATGTCCTGCTTTTCCTGTTATTTTACAGTACTTCATATTGTTGCTGTGCATCTTTCTCTTGGAGATCATTGCTGGAATCCTGGCCTATATCTACTACCAGCAGGTGAGTGGACATTAGTCCTTAGAGACTCCAACCAGGGAGAGAAAACAGCTGGTTATCATCTCATTTCTCCAGCCAAAATTGAGCTTGGAGGCTTGGGACCTAGGGTCTGGTTGTGGTTCCCCCTTCCACATGTCTGTACTCGCTCCCCTCCCCATACTGAAGGCCTTGGATTATTTACTGGTTTTGACAAAGTGGCAGTGGTTACTCTAGGGAGGCTGCTCAGCCTTGCTGCTCGGCTCCTTCCCATGGGTCACCTTTGTGCGCTGTTTTTCTGCAGAGCCTTGGAGAATACAATTTTTGAGGCTGTGTTAGATCTAGGAGCTCTCCTAATGCCCTTCAAGGCATAGGGCAAGCAACTTGAGATCACATTAGTGCAACTTGGTATATGCAGGACCTAGGAAGAGTTCCTGCTGTGTCCAGCAAGCTAGCTGGCATACTTTTGAACTGGCAAAGATGGTCCAGCTGAGAGGTCCTTTCAGGTCAAGAAGATTTTGAGAGCTTTATTTAACCAGTCCAGCCGAGGGGCTGGAGAAGAGCACAGGCTCCCAACAGCTGCAGTTCTAGCTTGGTATTTTTGCAGTTTTAGAGAGTGGAGGCTTAAGTCATTGCTTTGTTTTCAAAGGGAGTTTAACCACCAAGGCACAGACAGCCTGCGAAGTTGCTCTTGTGTCTGGGAATTGATTGGAAATGGCAAATTAGGATTGTTGTCATGTGGCTGTCTGAAAAGCAGCTGGACATCCCATCTTGTCGGCTTCACTGCTGGGATTCCTTGCCATTCCTTTTTCTCTTGGGCCTTCTGTGCTTTCCCTCACTAAGATGGGCACCCTTGGGTTGTGAGGAGCCAAAGGACCATACTGTCTCCTGCCAGGAGGGATCAGTGGTATGAGTGTGCGTATTTAACAGGGAAAGATCAAGCCTGGAGGGCATGGCAGGAAGCCACGGTCCATCCATCCATCCATGCAAAGGGCACGATGTTCATATGTGACAATGGATGAAGAGGAGCTGATCCTTAAGTTGGAATAAGGGACAACATATTCAGAGCTGTACCCTTGAGTTCTTTCAATCACTTGAGGGCATCTCTGATCAATAGCTGCACTTCCCCTTGCCCGCTGGCTGACAAATCCCCCTTCTTTCCTGGTTGCAAGCTGCTTTCTCTGTTTGCCGCTGTTTTTATTTCAGCCCTTGCTTTGATGTTGAAGGCTTGTGCGTGTGTGCCTAAACTGTTTCTTTTGTTATCTCTGTTCCATGCTGCAGTTCTTCCCCGTGAGCGCGCAGGTAACTGCTTTTCTCCCAAGTAATGATTCTGCTAATGGACTCTCCTCTTTAGTTGCCTCTGATGCCTTCCAGCTGCTGCACTTTTTCCTTTCCTTTTATTACACTAAGTCCTTTGCACTTCTGTAGAGCTTCCCAGCCCAGGATCTCAAAGCATTTTGCAAATATTAATGAGTGAAGCCTCATATCATCTCTGTGAGGTAGGTGTTGTCCCCATTTGACACATGGGGTTGGAAAAAATGGTCTTTCAAAGAGAGAATAAACTGCAGACTGTATTTTGCGTTCAGCATAACCAGATGTTTGACCTCTCATTTACTACTTACTGTGTAGAATAAAAGGTCTATGGAGGGGCTACCCACCTGTTTTATTCATTGACCCCATCTAAAATGCGTGTTGACATTGTTTATTGGTATAGGAAACTTAGAATTTCCCAGGTGTTGGACTAAAGCAATGTTGCTGTATGAACCAGGATGACAAAAAAAGAAAAGATGCAGCTCTTTGGCACTTTTTGACTGTCACCTGGATGGGTGAGAAGAATTCATTTAGATGAAAAGAGCCTCCACAGGAATAAATCACCTGAACATGCCAGTGATTTATGATGATGCTTTCAGAAGTGATGTCCTTGCAAAATCAGACTTCGTCTCTTGTGTCACTGTTACTGAGAAAGGTCTTGCAGTACTTTTTGCAATCGCACACTTAATTCTGTCCTGTAGCATCCTTTTTGATGGCAATACAAGAGCTGTTCAGACTACATGGCTGCAGTCCAGCATGCCCAGGGCTCTGATTTCTTCCTGCTCCTGAACAGAGTGATTTGGTTTTTTTAGTATTTTGGCACAGACTTCAGAGGGAGAAGAGTGCACGTTATCTCATAGGCATATTCGTATTTACGCGGGCACAGTTTTATATTCTCTTTCAATGCAGGCATGCCTTGGCAATCTTACATATTCAAGGTGAGGACCCATATGGTGATGTGTAACACAGGCTGAAATTTGGTCCTGAATCACGTCCTTCCAGTTATTAAAATGGAGGCATGATCTGTAATCAGTTGGAAATAAGCCTGTCCAGTCCAACCTTGGAGGATGGTCTTGAAGGAAGCCGTAGCTTCCACTAGACTCCCTGCTTTCCTCTTGGAGCAATGAAACGTATGCAGGGCTCTGCGTCACTCTGCGGGGTGAGTTTGCCTTGTGATTTTTTTTCCCACTTGTCTCTTCCATTCAGCTGAGCATGGAGCTGAAGCAGAATCTGAAGAACACCATGACCCAGAAGTACCAGCAGGAAGGAGAAGAGAGTGTTACCAGCGCAGTAGACAAACTGCAGCAGGAGGTAGGTATCTCTAGAGGCAGGGAGAACTAATGCAACTGCAGGGCTTAAAATCGAACACACAGCAGGCATCGTGGGCTCTTGACATCCAGCATCCAGGTGTTTCTTCTGTATGCTGAGTGTATGTTCTGCTGCTTCTGCTGCAAGACAAGGCTGGGTGGGCTGCAGGGCCTGGGCCATGCAACCAGCAGAATTTCGTGGTGTGATCTCTGACTTGCATGCCCGGTAGCACTGGGGAAACAACATCTGAATTGCTCCCAGGGTGAACTGGAGCTGCCAAGTCACTAAGACAGCTGGTTTTACTTCCCACTACAAAGCTTTGGAGAAATTGCTGACGTTTTTCGTTAAGCTCCTCAGTGCCCTAGAGAGCAAGTCGTAATGAAAGAGCAGCCTTCCTGCCGCTGTTGCTAGCTGTGCCTGGCTCAGGTTGTTCAGGTTAGGGCTGCCGCAGTTCTGACAGGCTTTCCCACAGAAAGGACCCTTGTGCACAGGCACTTTCAAAGCATGGGGCCTGCTATACACATACTTGCCATAGCAGGTGCATTTGCGATGGTAACTGGTAATTAAACTTACCCTGTTATCACCATGAACCCTCTCCAGTCCAGTGGTTAAGAGCTGAGGCAGCTACAGGTACACTCTGCTTATAGTAACCAAAAGTCACAGCTGCCGAAAGATGGATGAAGCTGATATTTAATGGCCATTCTAGGGAATCGTAACACAAAAATCACTAATAATTATAGTAGCCATTAAAAAAAAAAGCCAGTGTTATAGCTGGAGTTTCTGTGCAAAGGAGGGTGAAGCCCAGGGCTTGGCGTGGGAGGCTGGAGGGAGAAGGAGGTTGCGGTGCTTGCAGGCTCAGCCTTTGCTCTGTGTGCATGCAGTTCAAGTGCTGCGGGAGCAACAACTACACAGACTGGGCTGACAGCCAGTGGATCAAATCTCCAGAGGCCAATGGACGGAAAGTCCCAGACAGCTGCTGTAAGACGATAACTGACCTCTGTGGCCGAAGAGACCACCCTTCCAACATCTACAAGGAGGTAAAGAGCAAACAAGGCTTCAGAGCCGCCTGTCACAAGTATGTAAAGGAGGTGGGCAGGGAGTGAGGGTGTTGGGTTATTGCTGCAAACTGTCGGTAGGCATCGAAGTCAGTAGGGTTCATTAGAAAGCAGAATTCATTTCTCTAGGGGAGCATTCAGCCACCTAGGCTATTATTTTATATGTAGATATAGAGAAAAATAATAAATCATATTTGTTACTACAGAGTATGCTAGTGATAGGGGACAGTGGGAGAGGTTGTTGGTTCTGGCAAGAGACTTGGATGTGAGCCCTACATTTGACACGGCTTCCTGTTGTTGGAATTACTCAGCGAGGTGCAAATGAAGATACTTCTGGTCCTTGACTGAGGTAGTGGGGTTTCACCTACAGCGTGAAGAAACAGCATAAGGGAAGAAAGAGGGCCCTGTAGCAGTCAGATTAGGCCAGTTCCAGTGGGCTGCAGTTTGGGCTGAAAAGAAGGCTGGAGTTGAGATAGAGGGGCTTGTCTCTTTTCCGGAAGCAGCAAATTGAATCCCAGACTAGCTGAGTAAGTAAACAGTTAGCTCTCAGACCATATATTAATGCAGTTTGCATTAGACTGGTAAAAGTTCTTGCATTTATTTTGGCACCCTCCAGTCCTGTCACCTGGCTTTAACTGGCTCTCTGTGGGGTAGTGTAGTCCTTTTTGTTCATCAGCAGAACCAGCACCTTGGCTCTCTTGAGCCTGAGGAGGAGTTTTTTCCTTGTTCCCATCGCCCTAACAGTTAAGGAGGGCTGTGGATGGAGAGGTGGCCCCTTCAGAGCAGGTATTTCTTCTCACCTCTGTGCTTTGAGCAGGACTCAGAAGAGGAGTGTGAATAACATCTGCATTAAGCCAAGCAACTCAAACAGCTAAAAGGAAACCAACCATCTGTCTTTGTGGAATGAATAGGGAGATGAAGCCTGGTCTTTCTGATCTACCAAAGCCCCTCTTATGTCCAGCTGCTTGCCTGGGTTTTGCTCTTCAGGAGGAAGGCTTTCCCATAAGGTTTGTGCCTTCCAGGCAAGACCCAACGAGGAAGTACAGAAAAGAGTCCAAGGGCTGATGAGATGTTTCTGAGAGTGGAAGCCCAGAACCATTTGAGGGGCAGGGCTGGCAATTCCCATCTTCTCTCCTTGCTGTGTGAAGCTGGAGGCGGCTGCCCAGCTGCATTCAGAGAGGCCCTGTAGGCTACCAAATGTATTGGGCTAGCTCTAGAGGAGAAAAAGCTGTAAGGGCAGGTTTGGATCCACAGTCAGATGCTGCATATCATGATAGGAGGTCTTGGTCACTGTGCAGAAAGGATTTTAGTGACTTTAGGGAAGAAAAAGGTAGAAAAGGGCCAGCTCAGGGAACAGGAGTAACTGCTTCGTATCAGGGCAGCATGGGCTGACTCTAAAACCTAATACTGGCATGGGAGAAGTGAGGCCTTTGCCATCCCTCCCTGGAGGGGTGCATGCTCGCTCCTTCCCTCGGCCTGCCTGCGAGTAGGTGTCTGTGCTCCCTGTAAACTCCTGGGGCAGGACGGCCCCCAGCACCCTTGGGGCACAGCTGTAGCCTACACAATAAATCCCCCTGATGTTACCATGGAAAACCTGCCTCAATAGATTAAACATTTTAATTATTTAAAGGGAACTCTTCCAAAAAACAAAAAGTGAAACAGAAACGAACAGAGAATGCTCTTACTGATTTATTTTTGCCTTATGACAACAAAATCTTGGGCCTGAAATAGGGAAGGAAAGGTCACGCTGCCAGCTAAGGATGGAGTTGCAAGGCAGAGGCAGGCAGAGCCTGGCTTTCCCGGTTTATACTGAAACTCATTGCTGTCATAAATAGCAGTGGGGAAGAATTTACTCTTACAAGGCTCCTGTCAGGGTAGAGTTCTTGTTACTGGATCCACTCTGCAGCATTTCCTTGGCCTTTTGGCCTGACGGGAGTAAATACCCTCTCCAGGGATGGGTGAGGCAATGGGTGAGGGAACTTTTCTCCATGTATCTCAGAGAAAAATGGCCCGTACTTCTGTGTGATGTGGCCAATGGTTCTGTGTTTCTCCTGCTTGGCTAGCAGCTGCCTTGAGTTTCTTTCAGACGGTTCCTGAGCCGGTAGGTCCAGAGCACCACAAAATATGATGCAGTTTACATCATCTGTGTAGCTTTTCCAGTGATGTCAGGGGAAGAGATTGCTCACAGACACCACTTTTTATAGTGTTGCTTTCAAGGGTCGCTGCCATTGGATTAAAATGAGCAAGAGGTTAAAATGCAGCTGATTTTCCATGTCTCTCCTTTCACCCTGCAGAGTGGTTGCATTACCAAGCTGGAAAACTTCATTCAAGAGCATCTGAAAATTATCGGGGCAGTGGGGATCAGCGTTGCTTGCGTGCAGGTAAAAGGGCTGAGTGGAGTTTTGGGGTGCTGGGCAGAAGTTAAAGGAACCCCTGGGCTGAGGGATGGAAAAAAAATTGGATGTTTTAAGCTCTTTCCTGCCTGGCAAGGAGAAGTTGCCAGGTACTTTGGGGACCTGAGGATTCACTACCTCCAAAGCAAAAGTCTCTTCTGCTGATCTGTAAAATTTGCTGGTGAAGGGGTGAAGGCAACTGGGCGAGGCGGAGAGATTTCTGCTCCAGGGCTGTGGGAAAGGCAGTGCCAGCCATGGCAGGTGGTTTGGTGGCCTGAGAGAGACCTCTTGTGGGAACGAAGAGCCAGGCTGGAGGAGTTTCCAACCCTGGCTCATTAGGATTATTTTAAGTCATCCAGAGTTTCTCTTGGCTGTGGCATATTGGGAGAGAGTGACGAATAAAGGGGTAGGATATCGATGCCCCCCACTCCCATTTTAGAGGGGAGGGCACTGGATATTCTATTCTTCCAGATGCAGATGTCTCTGGGAGTTCCTCATTGTCCCCTTTGTTCTGGCAAGTAGCCAGATTACACCCCAGAGAAGCTGCTGGTGCTTAGTTATGAGAATTAGCACAGATGATGTTCTCTCCTGCTGTTTATTGCAAGCTGGAGTGTGGTATCCCCAGGCAGGAGCTAGCTGCCGCTCCAGTCTGGGTCCATACTGTTAGTTTGCAAGCTTCTGCCTCCACTGCATCCATTTTGTTTTCTCATGCATTTCTCTGTTCTCTTTACACCCTGTAGATCTTTGGGATGATTTTCACCTGCTGCTTGTACAAGAGTTTAAAGCCCGAACCATATTAATAGCTGTGGGAACTCTGTCGCTCCCCCTCTGCCACTTCCCTTAGCGCCTGCCAACCTGACCACTCTCCACCACCACCGCAGAAGTGTCTGTAACCCGAGGACTTGGCTCTGTTAAATACAATTAATTAATGCCTCTTGAACCATGCACCGCCTTACCTGCTCCATTGGGGGAAAGTCACCCTCGTTGTGTACAAGGCAGCCAGGAGTTCAGCAAGTCCTCTTCATTGTCGAGAAACAAAAGAGCTGTGGATCTTCTGCTGGAAGCTTTAGCGAAACAGTCCTTTGATATAATTACAAAGCAAGATTTATCCAGGGCCATTTCTCTTGAGCCAACGTGAAGGTATCGGGATGCTATACAAGAACCATAGTTTGCTGTCTGAGAAGTGGCTCAGCAGCACCAGGCATTCACTGTGAGGACAGATGATGTTTCTGCGCCGAGCTGGAGCCAGAGCTGAGTCTCTCATACCTGGAAGATTTCTCTCCTCTCTCCCACGTGTGCACCGATGTTCCAGCACAGCTGTTCTCTGCCTCTGAGGATGCCTGCCTGGTTGCCTGGGGCAGGAGCTACTCTCCCTGCTGATCAGGAGCACAACTTGGTGCAGTTGAAATCTTGTCATGACTCTGACGTTGCCAAGACATGGGTGCCTTAGGATTTCTCAGCAATCCTTCCTCCTCTTGCTTGGAGCTTCCCCCAACACAGTGCCATTAGGAGCCACAAGACGCCTTTTGCAATTCTGGAGTAAAGATGACAGACTACTTTCTAATTCTTTTGGATCTGGTCTGTTTTATTGAGTGGCTTCCAGTGTGAGTGAGAAAACTTTGTTTCCTCCTACCTATCCCCTGCGGAGGTTTGGTGAAGAACTGATCTGTTTGTGGAGCTGGCCTATCTTGCTACCCTTTGGCCTGTTCGGTTAGCGGAAATACCTTTTCCCATCTCTTACATGTTGAGAGAAGCCCTTGGCTTGATTTTTCTAATTAAAACCTCCAGGCTTGTCTCTCTTGGGCAGGAAATGAATGTATGCAAATGTTTTATCAGCCTCTGAAGAGCTCATTAATCAGCTGAGAGTTTTCTGGCTTTAATGAGATCTGGAAGCTCACTTTGCTGGTTACTGCCAAGAAGTCAGGAGAGTCAGCTTCAACCAGTTGCCCCAGTGCACTTGGTAAATTGGTAGTGCTGGGTTAACTGTCTGTTTGCTGCAGAGGAGTAGGTTTTAATTAAATATTCTCTCAGCAATGGGATCCGGGATACATACAGGGCATAGACATCACTGCTGCCATCATGATGCCAACAGGGTCTTGGCCTGAATTCAAAGGATCTTGTGTGCCTCTTGTCTTGTTCTCACCTTCCTGGTAGGCCTGTTATACCCGTGAAGCAGAAAGGGCTGTGGCGTTTTGGTGTTTCTAAGCAGTAAAGACAAGCCCTTTATAAACAAACAAATTTATTCCCTCTCCTGGCCTTTTAGTGGTGCTGGCTGAGCGAGCCCTGTCCCTTGGCAGCAGACAGTTAACAGCAGCAAAATCATCCAGGCCCCTAAAGGGTCTTGCAGCATCATGGGGTTTTTAGTTCACAGAGCAGAAATCTTGGACTGGTGCTAAAGGGTGACAGGTTAAAATTCAGAGCAGGTCAGTCTGAAACTCCCCCCATCAACATCAGCCCTGTGAAATAATCCTTAACTAATGCAGAAAGAGAGGTGGAGGAACTGAGGTGTATCCTTGGTTCCACAGCAGTAGCAAAGAGGGGAAAGAAATCTCAATTATTGTGTAATGATCTAAAGGAGAAATCTCTAAATTATTTCTTGTTTTATAATCAAGTTCCTGACAAGTATTGACTACTAACTAAGAGGAAAATATTGAGCATGTTGCTTGAAGCAATATTTCTAGTTTCTTAAGCATATCTTCACAGCTGCCTTCGCCCGTTCCCTTCAAACCTATTGTACAGGGTTGGGAGAGGCCAGGCAGAATGAGATAGAAACAGTAAGTTGGCTTGTGTCCATTGAGTTGTTTTATACTTTTTCTCTGTGTAATAATATTCATTGCTTTTTTCGTTTGGTGTTTTTTTTTAACCCAGTTTAAGTTGCTGGCCAATAGAAAAAATAAAGCTTTAAGATTCTGTACTTACTCTGTGTGCAAAATTGCAGGGGTACGGTGAGCCGGATGGGTTGTATGGATTCCTCAGATCCTGCTGCTGAGGAGCCAGTTCCTCAGGAAGCAGCTGGTCTGAGGGGCCAGGCTGAGAAGGAATCACAGAGTCGTTTAGGTTGGAAGGGACCTTGAAGAACCCAGCACTGCCAAGACCACCATTAAACCGTGACCCTAAGGAAGCTGGGGAAGAATCTGGCTCACCTCACTGACCTTGCCAACCTGGTTGTGATCTGCTGCCAACTGCTCCTCCGTGTGTGGCGCCCTGAGAGCTGAAGCTACAGAACCTCAGGGTACCAGGTATTGCTCGCCAGCCATGGTCTGTGCCCGGCGGTGTGCGCGGCAGACCCCAGCATTGCTCCAGGGTCTGTGGTACACCTCACCGCGCTCACTGGGGTGCTTGGGGACCTCTCCTGGCCTTGGCACACAGGCTGTGCTTTCTCGTCACGTGCAGAGCACTGAGGCAGCGGAACAGGGCCTTTGCCATCCGGTACCTTGCATTCACCTTGCTGGCCCAGCTGCTGCCTGTGGCTACCAGTCAGGGCTGCTTAAGAAGAGCAGTTGAGGGTAGGAATTGGCTCAGGGCTCGGCTCTGCTCGCCTACACCCTGTTTCCACTCACCTCAAAGCTAGAGGAAATCTTTTCCCTTTCCATCTTGACCCTAAGGACATAGGTGGGCTGCTGCAGTGGGGCTGCCTCTCCCGACCGCTGTGTGGGTGCTGGGTGCCGAGTGTTTGCTCTATGTCCTGTAAAGCAGCCACCTTGCATCACAGACAGGTTCAGAAAGAGGGAGCAGATGTGTGCCCCTTTTTTTTTTATTACCCTTTGGCATTTAAGCTTCCAAATGACACATTACAAGTTTCAGATAAGCCGATAGCGGACTGGATGGAAAAACGCCTGGCTGCAGCTGAGGGACGTGGCCGCTCGGTGGCTCTCAGAGCTTGGAACAATGCGCTCTGAATTCAGCTCCTGTAATTCAAGTGAGTCTTAATTCAAGCTGCTTTGGCTCTGTGGGCAGCAGGGCCACGGTGTCACCGAGCCCCAGGGAAGCGCGGTACAGGTCACGCTGGTGTTCTCTCACCTGGAAGGGAAGGTCGCTCCTTCCAGCCCCGGCAACGTGCCTCATTTTCATGCAAGACTGAGGTTGAGGGCTCGGCCTGGCCTGCGTTCGGTTCAAGAGCAGGGACTTTTGCTAAAAAAACCCCACAACTGTGTTGGCGTATGCCGAGGAGGCAGACCTGGGTGGCTCAGGAGCGGCAAGATGAGCCAGCACGACTGCTACCGTACCTGTGGGGACTGCTGTGGGGCAGGCAGATGGGGTCCTGAGATGCATGGGGTAAGGTGGGGATGTCCATTTATGAGACCTTGTCCCAAGCCCTGTGTGCAGCTCTGGCCGCCGGTCTTCAGGAGCGGTGAGTGTGAACGAAGAAAGGAGGGCTTGTCCTGGAGGGCTTTTTACCGAGGTGGGCCAGGCCGGGCTCCTGCGCACATGCTTGCGGCGGGGGCACAGAAGATGGTGTGGATGGCTCCATGTTAACAGCATCCCCCCCAGACAGCCACCGGACCACCTCAGCTGTTCCGCCATGGCAGAAAGAGAAATGCCCCCGATTCCCCTCCTCGTGCCTCGTCCCATTTCCCTCTGTGTCGTCAGGGGTGCGGTGTAGCACCAGTCGTCCTTTCCCACCCTCAAAGGGAAATTAGCCCCCCTTCTGCAAGACTGTCATGGGGTGGTGTCTGGGAAGTCTGTAGCACAGCGTCTTTCAGCAAGAAGCAATCGCTTAAAAGCAATTTCTCGTTTGAATTGATTTCTTCTGCAGTGTCTGTGATCAGGGTGCAATTACCGTCCTGCGGCATCCCCACGGGCCGCACAGCCTCAGGTCTCTGGGTGCTGCTGCCTCTCTCGAGGTGGGAACACGGATTTCTTCCCCTCCAAACATGGTAATTTGGGCTGCGCTAATTGCCCTTCACAGCAATTAGCTCTGCGGGTGGTCTGCTCCCTTGGGGTGCCCGGGTGGTGAGTACAATTTGCTCAGGAATAAAAGGGAAAACAGATGCAGCAGTAAATAGTTTTTGCGAGGGTCCAGCTCTGGGGCAGTTGCTCTCTTCCTGCAGTTTCAAACAGTGAGTACCACACAGCTGCTCGCTCGCACCCTCCCCGGTGGGATGGGGAGGAGAATTGGAAAAAAGGGAAAATGACAGTTTAGTAATTAAAATAAAATATAATAATAGTAATAGTAGTGAAAAGGGAGATAACAAAAAGAGAGGAGTAAAACCCAAGACAGACAAGTGATGCACAATACAATTGCTCCCCACCTGCTGACCGATGCCCAGCCCGTCCCCGGGCAGCGATCGGCCCCTCCTGGCCAACTCCCCCCAGCGGCCCCTCCCAGCCAACTCCCCCCAGTTTCTATACTGGCCATGACGCTCTGTGGTATGGAATATCCCTTTGACTGGTTGGGGTCAGCTGTCCTGGCTGTGCTCCCTCCCAGCTCCTTGTGCGCCTCCTTGTTGGCAAAGCTTGGGAAACAAAAAAATCCTTGACTTGGAGTAAGCATTACTTGGCAACAACTAAAACATCAATGTGGTATCAACATTATTCTCACACTAAACCCATAACACAGCACTGCACCATCTCCTAGGGAGAAAATTAACTCTATCCCAGCTGAAACCAGGACGCAAGTATTTCATGCTCCCCCGCAGGGCTGCGTCTAACCCCAGGTGAGTTCACGAACATGCTCTTTCTGCTCCTGCCATTTATTTGGGAGGAATTTCCCCCTCAGGAAGGCCTTGGTGCCCCTTTCTTTCGCCATTTATAAAGCCTCCCTTGGTGGCGGTTACGATGTCCTTGTTTTCCTGCTAGGCTGGGCTGAGCAGGGCTGTGGCGGTGGAGGAGCGGAGCAGGCAGCGATACTCTGCTCCCTGGTGAGATACGACAAATACACCCTGCTTGGGCAGTGGCAAAGGGGAAAGCTCTCTGGGTGGCTGCGGTGAAACCTCCCCACGTGTCCACGTGTACGTGCGTGCCTGCACCCCTGGGAGAAGATGCCGAGTGCTCTGTGCTGCTCCTTATCCCACAGCAGCGAGCAGCGGCAAGGGATGCCTCAAGCAGTCGCTGAACTGTCTGCTGCATGTGAGCGGAGACCGACAGTTGCTCCTGGCACGGCTGGTTTTGCCGTGGGGGTCCTGGGCTGG